ATAATAAAGATAATTGAATTTTTGATTCAAAAATGATAAAAACATTATAAAGATGTTTAAATATATAAAAAACTGTGATTCTCTGCTACATTTATCTGACTGTTAAAAGCGTGATTCGTTTACATTTTCAAAACTGTTTTTCTAAAAATCTGAGCGATACAATTTAATAATTTTTACTTTTTTATTTTGAATAGTCTTATCTTAATTTGAAATTGTTTTCAGATCTGAGTATTCAATTTTTTTCTGAACAAAAATAGAATTCACCCAACACTACTTTTGTAGATGTATGATACATTTATATTAAGGTATATAGCTAATATATATATATATATATATATATATATATATATATATATATATATATATATATATATATATATATATATATATATATATATGTATAATTATATGCGAATGATTATAATATAAATTATAATATATAATTATATGTGAATGACTATACTATAAATGCAAAAAAAAAAAGGCTAAAAAGTTCACAAGTTACTTATAAAGTATGTAAGATAAAATATTTATATATAGGTTAAATATAAATGTATTATGTTACATAGTTTATATAGCATTTAATTTATATTTGTTTTTATAATATAGGTAATATAAACTATAAAATATAGTTTTTATAATATATCATAATCATTTATATATATATTATATACAATTTGTATCCAATAAATTTGTGTTCATATTATATTACAACACGATTACAACAATTGTATGCAAACACAATTAATGCATATAAATCAAACTCTGAAAAATAATAAAATATTAAAAATAATAATATATGTCCAAGCATAGTATACTATGTAATACAATACAGTGTATATATATATATATATATATATATATATATATATATATATATATATATATATATATATATATATATATATATAATACATACACCATTGGCCATTAATTAGAGCATTCTTACTTATATATCCTGTTTGCTTAAAATTACTTTAAAAACTAGTTAGCTTTTTAAATATTTTATTATTTCTAATTAATAAGTATCGTGTTTTTTATTTAATGGACAAGTTGTTACCATAAAATTTCATTTGTATCCCTAATTATATGTAACTTTATAACATCGACTATATTTTTTTAAATTTTTTTTGTTCGTTAAAAATTAATGCTTACTGCTTTATTTTTAAAATTAATGTTATATTTTTTTTAATAATTTAATTTGATTTTTATTAGCATTTATTAACTCTAAATTTCTAATTTTGAAATAGTACTGATAAAAACACAAATAAATTAGATATTGAAAAAGCCTCATAACGAGTGAAGTAATACAGCATGAAACTCAGCATGAAACTACAGCATGAAAATGGTTGAGATTCTCTGAAAAAACATGTTACAAATCTATTTTTATTTAAAACCAAGTATTATCTCCTTGTCAAATAGCCAATAAGTTAAATATTGAATATTCACATATTTGAAAACCTTATACTGAAAGAGATGACATTATGGATCAGGATAATCTGGTGGGCAACACAATGAGATAAACGTTTTTAATTAATAAAATTAATTTGCTTGATGAAACACGACAGCAAGTGGTGAAATGTTATATTCTCAGACAAAATGAATGTTGAGGTAGATATGCAAAAATATGTTATTGCTTCGTGTTCTGCTATGGCGATCACCACAAGTGTAATTTGATTTGAATTGTACATGAAAACCAACCAAGCAAGGTAATGGCAGTGTAGACTTTTGGGCCTACATGAATTATGCAGGACTTAAATGCTATTAATTATTTGAAGGTTGACTTAATGCTGATAGAAACATTGAAATTTTAGATAATTGCCTTCTTCAATCCTTATTTAAGAAAGGTGGATCTGCAAAATATTGAAATGCTTTTTTTTATGGTTTTTCTTTGGTAAATTATTGTTTTAATATATTATTTGAAATATATACTTAACTTTAGTCCGATAGTTTTTTTAAATTAAGATAAAATGTTTAATTATTATTATTTTTTTTGGTATCTAAATCAATATGTTTAGATCTTTTTTTGGATTTTCATAATGCATATAGATTTTACTTGTATTAAAAAAATAAAAATAAAAGCATTTTAGTTTTCGGTTTAGTTGATTTTGAATTTAATGTTTTATAAAAAAATCGTGACAAAAATAATGTGCGCTCTAATTTAAGGCCTAAAAAATCTTACCTACCTCAAAAAACTAATTTAATATCATGTCGTGGATATATATATATATATATATATATATATATATATATATATATATATATATATATATATATATATATATATATATATATATATATATATATATATATATATATATATATATATATATATATATATTAGGCCCCTGCTAAGCCTAAATATTTTGAATCAAATCAAATAAGTGATTCAAGACTTGACTCAAAAAATCTCTATTTATTTGAATCAAATCAACCTGCTTTTATTAATAGTTTATAATGAAATTAGCTCAAGGCCATATCATAAATTTTCACAATCTTGAGTAATAACATTATTAGAATGTTATTACTCTAATAACATAAAGTTGTCTTAGAAATTTCAAGATACATTGAAATTTTTTTTTTTTTAACTATTATTAATTATGGTCATGCTTTGGTCAATTCTAAATGTTTTGCAATAAATTTCATGAATTGTTAACAAAAATTCCCCTACAAGCAAACTGCCTCTGCCAAAACATGATGACAATGACTTGATAAAATGCTTAGTTTCTCTGTCTAATACTAAATAAACCTTCAGTTTTTCAATTTAATTTATTTGTATTATTGTGCCTAAAAGTTATGACCATATAAAATTAACAGCCCCCTCGATTTGATCAAACTTTGCTCATTTAAATACTAAAAAAATATTATAAGGTATTTTATTAATTATTTTAGCAATAAATAGTTAGAAGTGGAAAAAACTTTTAAAATTCGAATGTAATAAAATATGAAATGATTTTAACAAAAACAAAAAGTAAATATATTTAAAAATGTATGTTAGGCCGACTTCCATGGGTCTAACATACATACGTATTGAAATTTATAAATATATATGAATATATATATATATATATATATATATATATATATATATATATATATATATTCTTTAGTTATGACTAGGAGTGTTTAAACTATTTATTTATAGAATGTAAAAATTTGTTTTGTTTTTTATTTGTTTATCTCTCCATTGACTTTTTAACCACAATAACTGCAAATACCTATATTGCATCCATGCATATATTACATACATAATTAAATATGTATGTAATATATGCTAAAATAATTAATAAAATATACATACATCTATTATGTATGTATGTATGTATTAATAAAAACAATCCTGCCTGCCTGTCAAAGACAAAATTAGATGTGTTTTTGTTAATTTTAATAAATTAGGAAAAATACATCTAATTTTGTCTCTGTTATAGCACTCTATTTTTAAAATACACTAACATATCTTTTATATATATATATATATATATATATATATATATATATATATATATATATATATATACACATCAATGTAATTATGTATTGTGATTATAGGGTAGCCTAGCAACAGCTTACTAAAAGTTAATGTTAAAAAAATATCTTTTAATCTTGAAAAAAAATTGAATACTAATATCAGTAAACATTCTAAGAAAGATCAACAGTTCATCTATCTGAAAAAGTTAAAATTTAAAAATTTCTACGCTCAAAATTTTTTTAAAAACAATTTGAAAACGATAAACAAAACACACTAAAAAAGCTATTGCTGTAATTACATTTTATTCGTTTTTAGAGGTTTTATATTTAATTTGAAACATTTTATCGTGTACTAGAAGTTACTTTTATTATAATTTCCTTTTAATAAACGGCTAAATGCATATTTAATTGCTAAAAATTAGAAAAATAGCTCGTTGTCAATGAGAGTTTTTTTTATATTCGTTATCCGTAGCCATTTTTAAAACTTTTAAAATATGCAAACTTTACTGCGCTTGCGTATAATAACTTTCCACTTATTTAGTAAGTCTGAACGACAGTGCAAGAAAAGGGTTGAAAATAAATAAAATTGCCCGACTTTCATTAAAACAAGTTATTTTTCTGACAAAAATCATTAACAACAAAAACTACAACTTTTGGAAAAAATCTGTTATCTTATATTGCTTTAAATTATCCATCTTTTCCATCTTCATTAAATCCTCAAGTTTTAGTGCTAGGGCCCTAGCACTAAAACTAGGGCCCTAGTTTTAGTGCTAGGGCCGCAAATGAAATACAATCCCTAGGGATTGTATTTCATTTCCGTATTTTGAGCTGTATAGCGAAGCATTTTGAATCGTTTTAAAAGCAATTTCTAATTGAATATCAGATGGGCGTGGCGGGGTTTCGACGTCAATAGCTTCGTCAACGCTATCTTCAACTTCATTATCGTCGTTTTAAAAATTAGGGTCTAAAATCTGAGCAATGATTTCAGCATCAGTAGCAAGTGAACCGGTGGTTACTACATCGCAATCTAAGCCAATGTAAGATTCCGCTAAGAGATCTTCTTGGGCGGCACGAAGATCTAACTCTCGCAAACGGTTAAGTTCTTCTGTCAAAAATTTAAAAGGATAATCATCATCAGCTTCTTCAATACTCTTGTTTGTTTTGCTGATACCAGCTTTTTTAAAGCAGTTGATGACAGTCTCCTTCGACACAGCATTACACGAAGAAAAAAGATCTTTCATTGCTTGAAGTATAGAAATTTTTGGCATGGGTTCGTTATTATCGACAGCCTTGATACACAAACGCACAATTTTGTGACGATAATGAGCTTTAAGACCTCGTATTACGCCTTTATCCATGGGCTGAAGAACAGATGTGGTGTTAGGGGGGGGGGGGATATTAGGTTGATGTTGCTTAGCCCTTCAATTTTGTGGGTGGGTAGAACAGTTATCCACCAGGAGTGCTACTTTCTTGTCTTCAGCACGAAAAGAGTCAAGTTTCATTACCCATTCTGTAAAAAGGTCTCTGGGCATCTAACTTTTTAGCTGATTTTTATATGTGCAAGGAAGTTGTTTAATGTGCTTAAAACACTGTGGGTTTTTAGATTTCCCAATAACAAACATAGGTAATTTTTCTCCCGTTGCACTCCCTGCTGCTATGCCTGTTAGTCTGACTTTACTATTTTTTCCCCCAAAACATTTTTCTCGTGATAAATGGTATATTTTGTTTGGTAGGCACTGGTAAAATAGTCCAAACTCATCAGCATTGAAAATGTTTTCAAGTTTGTAATTCAAAAGCAATGTTGGAAGTGTAGTTTCATTCCACGAAGCAGTCATATTATTCGTCACGGCAGCACTCTCGCCTGAGATTATTTTAAATCTGATGCCGTTCCTAAAAATAGGAACAGAATAATTGAATTTTAATTACACGTTTAAAAAACTAAATAAATTAAATATAAACAGATACATGTTATTTGTTTATATTAAAATTGAACAAGATTTGACAAAATTTAACTGACCTTTCTTTCCAATTATGAAACCAACAATCAGATGCTTTAAAATCCAACTCTCCTAATGCTTCTGCAAATTTTAGTGCCTTTTCTTTTAGTATGGTACCATCAATTGGTACTTGTTGACTTCTTTTTGCAACAAACCACGTGTATATGGCCTTGTCTACATTTTTGAAATTACCACTACGAAGTTTCTTCCGTTTAGATTTTGTGCCATTTTTTTCCAGTGAGGTTTTATATTTAATCCAGGTTGATAATGTGTTCTTTGGGACTCCATACTTTTTGGCAACCTCTTTGTTAGACATCCCTGTCTCTAGGTCTTTTAATGCCTTGCATTTTTCTATTATAGATTTGTTCGTGAGTTTTCGTTTAACGACCGGCATGTTGTTGCGTTTGACAAAAAGAATAAATCTCAATGAGTGGTTTATAGCAAATAAACTTTCGTTGAATATTGAAAAAACAAAATATATTTTGTTTGCTAAACCATCTAAATCCGAGAATCTTCCACTTACACTACCAGAACTAACTATTAACAATATTAAAATAAAAAGAGTGTTTTCAATGAAAATACTTGGAATAATTTTTGACGAACATTTAAATTGGAAAAGCCAAATAAAGCTAGTCGAGAACAAAGTCTCAAAGACTTTAGGGATAATGTATAAGACTAAACCTCTTTTGAACAAAATATGTTTAAAAAATTTATATTTTTCGTTTATACATAGTCATATTAACTATTGTAATATTGCCTGGGCAAACAATCACTCATCTTTCCTAAAAACTATTTACACAAAACAAAAGCAAGCAAGTCGATTAGTTTCGGGTATGGATAAATACGAAAGTGCCGAGCCGTTACTCAAGGAAATAAATGCCCTAAATGTATACAAATTAAACATCTACCATAACTTGTTATTTATGTTTAAACTTCAAAACGAATTAATTCCAAAATATTTTTATAAAAACTTCTCTCTTATTAATCATAAATATAAAACAAGACACTCAATAAATATTTACTACATCCCACTAACATTACTCAAAAAGTCTGACTTCTCAATTACATGTCGGGGACCACGCTTGTGGAACTCGGTTCTTGACGAAAATATGAAAAAAATAAAATCTATTGATATATTTAAAAGAGCTATAAAAAAACACTTACTAAATTTAAACAATACGTACATTCTTTCATTTTTTTAATTAAAAAAAGATATATATATATATATATATATATATATATATTATATATATATATATATATATATATATATATATATGTATTTTGCGTGTGTATGTATATATATATATATATATATATGTGTGTGTGTGTGTGTGTGTATGTGTATGTGTGTATATGTATATATATATATATATATATATATATATATATATATATGTATATATACATGTATGTGTATGTGTGTATGTGTAAATATGTATATGTGTATATGTGTATATGTATATGTATGTGTGTATGTATATATGTATGTGTGTGTATGTATATGTGTATATGTATATGCATATGTGTGTATGTATATGTATATATGTGTATATGTATATGTATATATATACATGTATGTATGTGTGTGTATATATGTATGTATATGTGTGTATGTGTATGTATGTATATGTGTGTATGTGTATGTATATGTGTGTATGTGTATATGTATGTGTGTATGTGTATATATATACATATATCCTTCTTATATATATTCTTCTTGTTTCTTTTTGTTTGTCTGTTTTAATTTTGTTTAAAAAAAAAATGAGTAGATGAACTTAAATCTATAAAATGTTCAGAATCTTTTTTAATTCAAAATATCTTTTGTATATTTAAATATATATTATGAAGTTTATTGGATATGTATACGCATATGTACGGATTTGTAAATTATTTTTTCAAAATTTTTTCTTTTTTATTATTTTCAAACTTTTTAGTTTTGTCAAACTTAAAAATTATTTTTTCAACTTTTTGATTTTTTCAAACTGTTAATTTGTTTTTTTTTAAACTTTTTTTAGTTTCACTCTTTTATATATTATTGGAAATTGTAAAAATTTTTTTATTTTTTATTTATTTTCACGAAGGTGCTTGATGATAAGACATTTTGTCTTCTACTTGCCCCAGTCAGCTTGCATTTGTATAAATTTATTTGAATGTAAGGTTAACATTGTAAAATGTATCAAATGACGAAAAATAAAAATTAAAAAAAAAAAAAAAAAAAAAAAAAAAATTAATTAATATATTAAAGGAAAACTTTTCTAAAATTCGATTCTTAAAAAAAATCGAATTTAAAAATTGAATTAAAATTTTTTTTTTTTTCGAAAATTGGAATTTAAAAAGAATTAAATTTTATTAAAACATTTTTGAAAAAAAAAATGTTGAAAAGTTCGAGATAACGAGAGAAAATTGAGCTTACAATTTGCTAATTGTAGTTACAACCAGTTTCTTGTGCATTTTCAACATAATTTTCTAGGCATTGCGCGATGTTATTTCAGTTCACCCGGTAACGAAAGGATCTTTCAATTTGAAGAGATTGTTGGAGTCCTAATTTACCGTCCCACTCTTAATTTCCTGGTAAATCTAAACTTGAAAGGTTCTAATTTATCGGGAAATTAAGACTTTCGAAGTCATAATTTCCTGAGTCATAATTTACCGCGACACCGGGTGGCATATTTTGAAACCCTATACAGGCTCAGAATTGGCAGAAATATGAGCAATATGATTCGCTGATTTTAAAAATTCGCTTTATTTAAAAATAAATTTTAAATCTAAACCGATTTTGAAATAAATTTCATAGTAATGATGAACTAAGTCTATCAATACAAGTCTTGTGTTACTATCAACATTTATTTGTAACAAAATCAATTTGTAACAAAATCTATTTGTAACAGAGAATTTTCACTCGTAAAAATCTCAAAGTTTCAATAAAGTTCATCTTGGTGATGGAGGTTTTATCTGTTGTTAATTTAAAGAAATAGAAAAAAGTGTAATTCGAAAAGATCTTGTGCTGATTCTTATGATTATTTATATCCTTGTTGAGTTTAGTTATGTTTATACTAAAACTAACCTGTTTGTATATTTTAGTTTACATATTGTTATATGAAGAATAAAGCCTTCTATGTTGGCTTAGAATTAATTATAGACTATTTAATTTACTACACTACATATCTATAAATTTATTTCTCGCAAAATATGTTCTTGGCCTTAAAGCATATTCAAATACAAAGTTTATATACAGTTGTACAAGACTACTTGTGAAGTACTTTTGCATATGAAGATTATATGCAGTTTTACCAGACTACTGATGAAGAACTTTATTTATAAATTGATTTATACGTTAATTATAAAGAGTGGAACATTAGAGTTTTTAAATAAAGAAAATTTGTACTGATTGCAAAACTAGCTTACATGTTCCATGTCAATATATGAGTTTTGAGGAGATTTTGTTTTCATGTTTTGTTTCAACTATTGTTTGGAGGAGACTGATTTACTTTTTATTGCATAACTCTAATAAAACATCATCTTAAACCATTAAACACTTTTTAAAAATTTAAAGAAAATTTTGGCCGGCAATATTAACTGTATGTATAAAATATTAGTTGAAAGTTTAACAACAGAAGTGAAATTTATATGTTTGTCTGCTGAACAGTAATTTTTTGTGAAGTTACATATAAACAATAAAATTAAAAGCAAGAAAATGTATTAAAGTCAAATATATTTTTTTTAAATATCTTTGCTTCCAACAAGGCTGCAAGCAACCACTAATTAGTGTTGGAAGTTACTGGAAGAGAAAAAACGAAGATTGTAGAGCAAGATTGACAGACGACTTAAAAGATTCCAAATTATATGAATCAGCAAAGCATGATGAAGGAAGCGAATTCCAAAGAACTGATGTTTGAGGAAAAAAAAAATAATATTATTTCAAGATAAAACATAACGCATCTCTATTTTTAAATTATTATACAAGAGGTATTCACAGAAATTCAAAAAAAGCACACTTGATTTAATTGGTTATTCCAAAGATTACATAATAAAACTATTAATAAAATTTGGAAACATGAAAGATAAATATTTCTGCCTAGAAAAATAAAAAAAAGGGTTTTTTTTTTCTTTTTTTTAGAGAAGATATTTTTTTTTCTTCAGGAGTATGTAATGTAAAATAAATTAATAGCATAATAAATAAAAAAATTTCAAACTTTGTTGCTTTATTTAATTTTATTTACCATCAGTTGCTATTTAAGACTAAACGTTTTTTACCAATTATAGAATTCAATAACCAATATTTTGTTCAGGTTAAAAGCTATATATCAACAAACATGTGCTTTATATGTATTGTCTTTTAAAATTGAAATAAACAACAACATGAACATGTATTTTTGCAATTTTTCTTGTTTTTACCTTTTTACACTTAGCTCTGCATAAAGGTGTGGTAAGTTAAGAGTTGTTCATTTTTGTAATCAGTTTACTATATCAAAACACACTTGTGGACATAAAACAGGTTATAAATTTTTTTTATAGCTTATTATGCTACAATGCTTTGTAATCTTTTATTACTATACATTACCAATGCCAATCTAAATCAGCTCTTGTTTACAATTGCTATTAATTTGAGAGTGATGTAAATTATCTGGGCTAGCTACAACAACCAATAAGCAATATTCTCAAACTTAAAATGTTTTAGTGGTGTACACAATTTATAAATGGGAATTATAAGTGTAAAAATTCTGAAAAAAATAAAATATTTTAAAAAATATATTTTTCTTGCTAAATGATAGGATTAATGGGAACTTAATTTGAAAAAACTTATACCAAGTTAATAATATTTTATTGATATTACTTGGTAAAATTTTAAAACTGTTAGTTTTAAAATTTTACCAAGTAATATCAATAAAAGCATAGTAAAGTTTTACCATCTGGTTTATAGTTTGTAGCATAGTAAAGTTTTACCATCTGGTTTATAGTTTGTTACAATCGTTGTTATTTTTATATTTTAGAGTTATAAAAAAATAAAGAAAACAAACTAATTTTTTTTAATCTTTATTTTTAAGAAAATAAATATACTATATTGTACAAAAATGGATAAAAAAATATATATATTTTTTTGTCATTATTTGGCAATTACTCTATCATTCAATACGTTTTTTGACATTTGTTTTGATTTAAACTTAGGCGCAAAAGCCTCTCTTTCAAAATTGGCGAATCAGATTGCGCATATCTCTGCCTATTCTGAGCCTGTATAGGGTTTCAAAATATGCCACCGGGTGTTTGTCAAAAACTTTTAATTTTTACCTTAACACAAGTTTTAGTGAAAATATTAATCTGCAGTTCAAAAAAAAAATTAATTAAGTAAGAATGTTCAATGGTCAACATATAAAAGGGCTATTTGTTACCAAA